GTACTAGCTACCACATTTTTAAAACACGCCATTTTTCCTACTGTAGATAGGACTCATCTGGTTTACATTTCGATAGCTATGTTCAGTATATGTTGCTGACACAGTTTTGAGGGATGTGGTTTTTCTGAGCTGTGGGAAATTGGTGTTAAGATCCTCTTGGATGTATTGCACTCTTGGAATCCAGACACTAGCTATCCACTGGCAATTTAAGCGTGCCAGCCCCTGAGTCTTTTGTCATTCAGTTACTGGAGGATTTTGTCTCAGTTCCATCTGGAATCTCAGACTTTCTTCCAAAATGCTGCAGAGACAAAAGTGTTATTTGAATGATTTTTCCCATATTAAAAACTTCATCTTCAGTAGAGGAGAGTAATTAAGATACAAAACCCATCTGCTCCCCTCAGATATCTGCTGGATTCTTCCTCAGGCCTGATGCTGTATTATGATCTGTACAAATTGACTGCTACACCTGGACAGAGCTCCACTAAATTTGAGGAGTCTGTCAGGATGCACATATGAATCACAAGGCAGGATCAGGGTCTGAGCAGTTTTGCTGAGGGTTGGGTGTTAGACATCTACATTTACCATCCATAAAGGGCTCCCTGGGTGCAAACTAAGGGTTTATGTGGAAAAATAAACCAAAATAAGGAGCTAAAAACAGGGATGTGTACGAAAATGCAGTTTAGTTATCAAGAAACTTCCTTCTCATCTGTGAATCCCCAGCACTGAATCTTCCTTCCAAACCCAGACACATAGTGTGGTAATGGGGGGGCCATATAGCTGAACACCTCACAATCTGTAATGCATTTAGCATCATAATATACCTGTGAAATAGTGAAATGCCATTACCCCCATATTACAGGTGGGGAACTAAGGCACAAATGCACAGATCCACAAAAGTATTTAGACTTTATTATACTTTTTTGGGCCAAAGCGGCTAAGGCCCAGATTTGGTCCAGCAAGATCCAATAACTGTAAGTTCAAACTAATCAAATTCAGACTGCAAATAAGGCATACATTTTTTAACAGTGAAGGGAATTAAATATCGGAACAAATGACTGAGGATTGTGGGGGATTCTCCATCACTGGCAATTTTTAAATTAAGGTCGATAGTTTATTTTAAAGATATGTTCTAGTCCAAACAGTGATTATTTTGGGGAAGTTCTCTGACTTTTGTCATACAGGAAGCTAGACTAAATGATCACAACAGTCCCTTTTCACCTTAGAATCTATTAATTCCATTTCCTGTTACTGTAATTATTTCTAGAATTTAAGTGAATGCACCCTATTTTCAGAGCCCTATTACCCTAAATCTGCCCCAAGGAGGATCCTACCCAATGCAAAATTTGTTCCATTTCTGAGGTGAAGTAACTTGAGTACAACAATTGCCCCAGATATGGATTCATTAAGGAAATAGTTGGATTTCTTGCAATACACACACAGTATTCAACTGACATTGCACAACAAGAGATAATAAATCCATTCCCATTTGTTTCATCCCAACCCACAAGAAATAGTTTTGCAATAACCCACAGCAGTGAACTGAACTGGTGAAACCAGGTCACCTGTCCACATAGGTCTCATCCTAGATAACAATGTCTGTGTTCCTGTCCATCACACAGTCTACCTAGCTACTGGTATCTCTTTTCTTGCATTACAAAATAATTGTCTCTGTCCATCACCGCTGTAGTTATGGGGGGGCAGGCAGGCAAAAGGGACTGCAACTGCAAAAATGGAGGCCAAATCAAGGTCCTTTAAAAAGTCAGGCCCTAAGTCAATACATTGAGACCTGGTTGAGAAGTATTGTTATTGAGCCAGATTCTGAGACCTTCATTCACTTTGAACGGTACCTTGCAAGAAGTCCCATTGGTTTTAATGGGGCCATTCATTGTGAAAGGTACCATTCAATGTGAGTTAATTACTTATAACTATGGACCTGACTATATTCATGAGGAACCCTTCTGGCAATGTCTAGGCGGGGTTATGGAATACGTAATTCTCTGTTCTTTGTGTACAGGGAAAAAAACCAACCAATAGCCACTCCCTTTCCCAGCTTCCCTATTTTGTTAATTCTGCTTTTCTTTGTGCTGTGATACAAGCAGGGCAGGGATTCTGGTTCATGGATTACTCTTTTTGTTCCTCTATTGTAAATATGATGTTGTGGATTAACTTTAAACAGTTGCATCACTCACGGCTCCTGTGACAATACCATGTGACGTCGGCAGATGCCTCTTTCTGCTGCACTGAGCCATCCCCTCAATGACTGTGCCCTCAATGAGGCAGGTAATATTTCAGATATCATGTGGTTCTCATTTAACCTCATTTGTGTTTCAGAGCACTTATTTGTTTAGGATGTTAAGCTAAGCAGTTTCAGTGAGCGGGAATAAGAGAGGCCAGATTTACTCAGTCCTCCTGAGGGAAGAAGCCCCCAAATGGTTCACCAGGAGTGCAGGAGCAGCAGCTGCTTGTCACCCCCACTCTAAGGAGTAGTTCCTGGCAGCTGGTAGTGCCCATACAAGGAAGACACACACTGACTGTGAAATTTAAAAGTTCAGTAGAGCTCCTAGGCAGACTCCTTGGACAGCAGCTGTGCTTCTGTCCAGCCCTGAAGTGCTAAGGTTGGCAGAACTCACAGGAGAAGCAAGGAATAACTACCTGCCCTCCCCTGAGGAGGGAACCCCTCTTGCACAGCTAATCAGGCAATTGCATAGGGTGCATTCCTGCAAATTGCACCAGTGGGAGTGAGTCTAGCCTAAGGTACCTGTTCTGTGCTTGAAGGGGGAGGGCTAGCTCAGTGGTTTGAGCATTGGTCAGGGTTATGAGCTCAATCCTTGAGGGAGCCACTTAGGGATCTGGGGAAAAATCAGTAGTTGGTCCTGTTAGTGAAGGCAGGGGGCTGCACTCAATGACCTTTCAGGGTCCCTTCCAGTTCTATGAGATAGGTATATCTCCATA